TGTGGATGTGGACCGTGGCATCTTTATGAGAGGAAACATACTGTATAAAGACTTAAAATAATGTCCAGACACTACAAAGTCCACTTGGTGAACAGAGGCCACACTGTGCTCTGGGAAACAGTTCTAACCCTCACCTTCTCTAGAAATGACTTGTCTTGGCGGTTTTTGAGACTTGGGATTTTAAATGTCATGGTCCATCTGCCAGAAACCAAAAAAAATAAAAAAAATAGTGTGTGATTAAACCCATATTAAACTGATAAATTGCATTAGCTAATATTGCCTGTGGTTAGTATGACTAACTAGATTGCATATTCTGAAGAAAACATGAGTGGTGCTTGCCTGTGTCTAAAGGCCTGACCAGGTCAGACCAGAAAGCAAGCTTTCTTGAACCTTCTAGATCTTTGTCCTTCGTTCCGTTTTGCTATTTACTTTTCACTTTATTCCCATCTGGTGTGTAATATTCATGTATTTTTGGCCGAGTAGATCTCTCTCTCACTCTCTTTGCTGGGTAGCAGTGTGACTCAGTCCCGCAGTGATGATGAAATTGGTTTGGGTCCACTAGGTCCAAGTTCTGGCAGGAACGGGCAAGAAAAAGCGCCAGTAACACGGAAACTTTTCCTGCAGCCAGAAGAGCGGAAAACATTCACACAACACCGCAAAAACAGATACAGAACTACACGAAAACATCCGTGCCTAGTGACCAGCCACGAACGAGGGACCCCACAAGTCTGCTGTTTGTTTTGGACGAGTTGACCGTTCAAACTTTTAGATTTTCAACAGATAGCTGGACGACTTGCTAATGTCTTTTCTACATTGTCCAGAAGAAGGCTTCAGGCTGATGTCACACCTCACCAATAGAGAATGACATAAAATGTCAAAAATACGGTCTACAGTACAGTAGCAAATTTTCTGTCGATACTTGCATGCAAACCACATTAATTCTTTGGGTGCTACGCTAAGGGTTTACAAACAAACCAAAAAAAAAACATTGCTAACTATAAAAGAGTTCTGAAAATTCAAAATTTATTTCAAATTGACACTAGGCGCGTTTCCATTACAGATTTGCGCAAATCTTTGGCGATATTTGATAAATGTCGATAAAAAAAGTATTGCGAAAATTACGGCGTTTCCATTAACACTGAAGTAGCTACTTAACAAAGAGATCATCCACAGTTACTGTCTTTAAATAAAGCAGAACATCAGAGTTTGTAACTCATCATTAGGCGCGTTTCCATTACAGATTTGCACAAAACTTTGGCGATATTTTATAAATGCAGATAAAAAAGTATTGCGAAATGACGGCGTTTCCATTAACCAATGTTATGCGACTAAAACGTAACCTTTTGCCTCTCGCGATAAGTCATGGCAACGGATTTTGGTGTGATTTTGGCTATATTTATTCAAAGAAGGCGTAATGCGTTTATCTTTACAGAAGCAGCACAGAGAGCTTCAGAAACGTGCATGGCGCGGCTGGAATAAACACATATGGGGTGTACTATATGCACTTTTTGCTGATTGCTAAGCAAACTGAGAGGAGAACTAACTAAAAAAAAGTCAGAATTGTGAGATAAAGTAAATAAATGTTATGTAAAAATGTTAATAGTAAGGTTTAAATAATATTTCTAATAGTAAAGTTTAAATAATATTTCATGCTGTAACTGTAGGGCTAATACAATACGTCCCCTATGGGCAGCATATGTGAATATTATGTAGACCTATTGTTTAAATCGAATTTATGCTTTAAAAGTAGAGTAATCATAGCAGTTTTCATCCATAGTATGTCCATTTAAACGTCTGCGTTTAGCTTCAAATGACGACATTATTCTATAAAAATTATTTGCATTCCGATCTTGACATCTTTTATTCCATGGATTTTACCCATTTACCTCCACTTGTTCCCAGTGTTTTTCTGCAACCACTATGCGCGCGCAGCTGCAAGTGACGTAACTGTGACGTCTACTCTAAATTGGTCTATACATTGTCTGTCCACAACAACCAATCAGAACACATTTCAGCTATATGAAGACCAATGAGGTTTTACGGGGGCGGGGCTACACCACAGAAACGAAGTGACGAACAAAACGTGCTAGTGAGGAAAAAACAAGTCTGTTTTGAACGATTTAATCCTTTTTTAACAGATCCTTTAAGTGGCTGTTCTTTGCGTTTTTTGGTTTAAAAACGAGAGTGACGTTTTTTTTTAAAGTTGAATTTCTTTTAAATTGAGCGCCGCGTTTTCAGAACACCATCATTCGCGAGACTCGATAGCAACCATCAAACACGTCCATCTAGCGGACATTTTCTTTGTGAACGGCTGTTTATAGTGCGTTTCAAATGGCATAAATGACGCTTTTGCAGGGCGCTTTATGGGAGAAATTGTCCTTGTACACTATGTCCAAAATAGTGTAGGGGGGTTTCAAACAGAAATGCAAAACAACATGACTTGGGCTGAATTCAGAATAGCATGCTACTGTTATTATTTTTGCAGAATAAAAGATCTCTCTAGTATGCTATTTCAAATGAGCCCATTCAGCCTTGAACCTCTAAAGCTCTCATTGTGGAGTCTTTCAAGGGAACAGAGAATAAGGATGATCACTTCTTAGTGGAATGCAGTTACTCTATCTAAAGATTTTCCCCTCAATACAGTGCTCACCATGTTGAGATAACTACAAAACAAATCTGGGTAAAGTCAACATGAAACATCTGCAAACTATTTTACTCACATAATGTGATATATCTTATTTCTCCACAAGTAAAAAAAAAAACACTTTTTCCATCAGGAATTGGTTAAAAGTGTCTCTATATAGCAAGCAGATGGAGGGGAGGGGCTAAAAACAAGGACTCGATGATGTCAGCTGAAAAAAAAAGTCGTTTCAGAAGCAGAGCAAGTTACATTTGATGAAAGATTCTGTTTTTTCTTTAGAATTACTGTGTAAAGAAAGTAAATAGGGTCAATGTTTGACTTTAAAAGATAGATCGAGTGGTTTTCAATTTTAGACATCACTCTCTCCATCAGTGAAAATCTCATCTTAAGCAATAAGTCAGCTAATTTCACACACGTGTTCGCTCGCAGATTCGGCCACATCGAGGATCATTTCTCACCCGGTGAGTCATGCGCTGGGAGATGACGTGAGCGTTCTGGCTGCTGCGGTGCTGTGTGACCCACGTTTGTGGTTTTATGAAGGAGACAGAGAACAGATTGGCTTGTCGGAGGTTCGTTTTCGAGCAATGTTTGGTTTAAGTGCTACATTGTAATGAAACTCAACATGATAGATGGAGTTTGCTGGAGCCGCTGCACTGCTGACTCATACTGTGGAGAATGTGGAAGGGTCACTGCATGCAGGAGGAGGAGAAGAGGAGGAGGTGGTTGGGGCCCCAGAGGGCCACAGGGACCTAACATCTGGATAGCCGACTCGATCTATAGCGACAACACAATGAAAACGGTGTGAAACATGAGCCGGATCTGGAATAGAAAGATTTGGATCTAAATCCAGTCTGACACTAAATAAAGACAAGAGTTATTGAAAGAGTTTTCGAAAGGAACAGGAATCCAGTGTCTGTATGGAGCTGCAAATCTCAAAAACAGACTTGGCCTTGTAAAACTCTCTCTCTCTCACACTTACGTCTGCTTCGGTCATTAGTGAAGGGAAAAAAAGCTGGAGGAAAAGAATAAGAAATGGTGCATTAATTGCTTTCACCTAAACTCTTCTATACATCATTGCATCACATTAAAGTGCTTATTTAAGCAATAAAGTGCACGAGGCTATGAATAAGAGGTCAAGATTTGGCTTTATACTGGAAATGAGCATGTATGAGTAAATTAAGAGTAAAACAAGATGGCAAATTTAAATTTGCTTACTTCAGGCATTCACAAAATATTATGTCCTTATTTTAAAAATAGTCACTTAATTAAAAAATTAAGCAAATGCATGAAGTTTAAACCTTCCACAAGATCTAATCAAGATAGTAAGCTAAGGTTAGTGATATAGTATATACTATGTATATAATATACTGTATAGAGAATACAATGATGTGCATTTTGAAATGTTGTACTGACCAATCAGCATCCTGTTAGACACCACTTTGACGCCTATTAAACTCATCTGTGATGGAGTGTGACTGCTACCTAGTGGACACATCATGCAAACACATTTCTAGATTTATTTTATTTTATTTTTTTAATTTAGAATTATTTTTATTATTATTGTTATTCAAAATATTGTCTAATCAATGCAGAAATATTACTATTGCATTAATTTTGCACTGCAACAAAATATCAAATATTTATTGATGTTTTAATTTAAAATCATATTTCTAGATTTATTTTATTTTATTTTTTTAATTTAGAATTATTTTTATTATTATTGTTATTCAAAATATTGTCCAATCAATGCAGAAATATTACTATTGCATTAATTTTGCACTGCAAAAAAATATTTATCAAATATTTATTGATGTTTTAATTTAAAATCATACAACTTTTATTTGGACAGAAAACAGTGTATAAATATGCAAAACTCACACCCCTACATAATACTATTTTCTTACAGTTTGTATGACATCCACAGTATATTCCATACTATAAACCTATTTAAATTGACCAAATGTGCAATTTACAATGCGAACAGACTGCAGAATTGTCACGGCGTAGCCCAGAATGCAATACACTTTCATTTCCAGTGTGACAAATAAAGCACATGATTTACACAAAATTTGAAGTATACAGTACAGACTGAATAAATTAGTATATACTTCATGGTGCGGAGTAAACAATACTCTAGTATTCTATTCCAAACTAGCATATTTCAGATAATTTCCAACTAAGAATTAGAAGGCTGATATTTGTGGTTTATGTTTTTCCATGGGATAAACATTTCTGAGGCTAATTATTTTGAGGAACGCTTATGAAAAGCACATTGTCTTTGGAATATCGTGTGCAGATGAAGCATGCACAATAAGACAGGGACTTCAATTTGAATTTTTTGTGGTTTTTAATGTTTGTTTTGGAAAAAAATACATAAATGGCTAAAAAATACAAAAGAACTGAAAGCATATTTTTTAATTGTGCTGCATAAAACAAATAGCAGATATATATTACACAAATCCTTATTTACAAATCAAGGCATTTATTGTTTTGAACATATTTACAAGAACACATGCAGATATGCGTAGCCACCTGCAGTGTTTAAGGAGGACGTCACATCTGCATGTTCACCTTCTTTGATTTGGGATGACTTTGTTTCCGCTGGTGGCCACTGGGATGAGAAGTTTCCGATACTCCATTGGAAGATATTTCTCTATCAGTATATTCACAGGCGTGGTGTCTGTCACAAAGCCCTGCCTAAGAAAAATATGAGAAACAAGTACTGGAACATGATAAACAGCCAAATTTGCAAAAGTATACAAAAACAAGTAATTCAACTCGATACATCTTAAAGGAATAGTGAATGACCCGCAGTGAATGGGTGCCATCAGAATGAGAGCTTAAACAGCTGATAAAAACATCACAAGAATCCACAAATAACCCAAATGACTCCAGTCCATCAATTAACATCTTGAAGCAAAAAGAGTCTATCCATAATACTGTTTTCTCCAGTGAAAAACTCATCATCTGAATCAGGAGAGAAATGTGCACCAATTAAGCACTGTTTACAAGCGAAAGCAGTCCAAAACAGTTCTAAACAAGTATGTTGGTGGATTTTGATATTATAGACTCATATTTTGAAGTGACCATTTAACCTTAAAAGCTTCCTAATGATGGATTAGTTTCTTACAAACACATCTTTTCACTTCACAAGATGTTAATTGATGGACTGGAGGGGTGTGGATTACTTGTGAATTATTATGATGTTTTTATCAGCTGTTTGGACTCTCATTCTGATGGCACCCATTCCCTGCAGAGGATCCATTGGTGAGCAAGTGTTGTAATGCTAAATTTCTCCAAATCTGTTCTGATGAACAAACAAACTCATCTACAACATCTTGGATGGCCTAAGGGTGGGTAAATTGAACTATTCCTTTTAATATTTACCTTCTCATGAGGAGCTCAAAATCTTCAACCTCAATAGTTTTACGTTTGGCATGAGTAGCATATGCTTCCAGATCGTCTGCTAGCCGTTCAAAGTACTTCTTAAGACTAAGAGGAATAATAAAAAAAAAAGCACACACAACCAATGGAGGAGATGTAACTCCAAATATTCATGCTGCAATAGGGTAAATAACTGTTCCCTGAGGGCTTACATTTCATTAATAGCAGGGTAGACATCACTGGCCACCTTGGTCTTGGCGAAGTGCTTGAACACGCTCATGACGTAACTCTTGGGAAGAACATCGACCCCCGTCTGACGCTTCTGTCTGGGGGCTCGTTTGGCAACCTGAGGGGCAGGACTGAGATAAATGGGTTTTAGATTTGCATTAGGAGACTGTAAAATGGACATCAGGAAGAAGAATGTTGTTGGTAAATTACCCAGCGTTCACTTCTTTAAGGACAGTTGGCGTAGTCTGCGCAGTACGACTTGCAAAAACTCTTTTCTGTCTTACAAACGCAGGAGTTTTCATGGACAATTCTAAAATGAAAAAAAAAAAAACTAAAGTAAATGCAAGTTATCCTAAAATGTTTATTTTTAATAATTGGGTAGAACTCGCTCACAAATGATTCACACAAACATTGTAACAATACATTTATGATAATGCAGAATTTGAGTACAAAATTTTGAGTATAGAATTTGAGGATTTTAGTACAAAGATATGGGAATTTGTGCACATTTTTAATGTATTGGTTTTTGAACTAGTTTATTAAAATGATTAATTCAAATTAATTCGTTTTGCTAAAATGTTACTGAACCAGTTTATTGAAATGATTCACTCAAATGAACTGGCTTGCTAAAAAGAATTGGGTGAACTCGTCCATTAAACGATTCAATCAAATGAACTGATTTACTATGTATAACTGGACGTTCTTAAACCAGTTTATTAAAATGACTCATTCAAACGCACTGATTTACCAAGATGAACTGGATGTGAAAGTGGGAGTCACCTGCACTAAGAGCATCGTCATCATCGTCCTCTTCCTCCTCTTCTTCCACATCCTGTGGAAATTCAGGGCTGTGATTGGCTGGTTCAGAGTCCATCAGCTCCTCCTCTGATTGGTTCGGTTCTTCTTGGGCGTCATTATCTTCTGCAAGCTCTGGCACATCTTCTTCAGCCAGACTAGCCTCATGTTGCTGTGACCTCTGCTCTGGTGTGCTGAGCTCTGCTGCAGGGTGTAGCTGAGGAAACTCAGGGCTGCCCAGTGGTTCTCTTTCTTCATCTAGAATGTCCTGTAAACGCTCTCTGCCCTCATCGACAAAATCCAAAAGATCTGAACAGAAACACATGAGGTTTTTACTAGCCCACAAACAAACTGAATTAGCAATTAATTTCAGTTATCACTGGTGAAGAACTTTGTGATTTTGTCACTTCAGGCAGTCTCATTGTCCTCACCTTTCTCTCTGGGGTTCAATCCAGCTCCAAAACTCTTTGTGACTCTCGTGGTGCCTGGAATTCCCAAGACAGCACCTCCTCCCTCTGAGCGGTGAGCTCTACGAGTTATTCGCTCTAGATACTGTGAGGTGTCAATATTTTCATGTTCAGCTTCAACAACCTCCTCATCCTCGACTTCCTCAGCGTTCTCATCCTCGACTTCCTCAGCGCTCTCATCCTCGACTTCCTCAGCGCTCTCATCCTCGACTTCCTCAGCGCTCTCATCCTCGACTTCCTCAGCGCTCTCATCCTCGACTTCCTCAACGCTGTCATCCTCAATTTCCAAAACTTCCTGATCCTCAGTTTCCACAACGTTCCCAATCTCAACTTCCTCCACAAATTCTCGATCTTGTAGCTCCGCGTCATGAGATTTAGGAAGTGATTCTGTCATCGCCTGCGTTGGAGCAAGTACAATATCATCTTCTGCACTCACATACACATCATCTTGGGATGAAGGCACCACCTCTTCCTCATCCTGTGATTCCATCTCATGATCTTTTTCTTCTTGAATTAAAGGTTCGGAGTCAGGAATATCACTGGCTCTCTCGGGCTCATGTTCTCTCTCGTTCTCTGCAGAAGGTCCCATTGTGTCATCTTTTTTAGACTGGACATAAAGCTCTGTGACATCACTGAGGCCGAGAGTGAACTTCTGCCAGGAAGAATCTTCTAGAGTTTTTCCATCCTGAAATACAGAGTGCTCTAAAGGAGAGAGAAACCATTTTAGATACAGACAAATTAGGATGGATGCAAAATTTTAGAATTTATATAAACCTTGGTTAGGACCCTGCTCCAGGCATCTCTGAACGGCCTCATCAAATGCATCCACAGACTGCAGCCTCCGATTGGACACCTTCCTCTGAAGCCCCGCCCTCTCAATGCGCTTCTCTACAAATGGGGTCTTCAAGGTCAGGTTCAGCCCACTGACAGAAAATAAACTTGAATCACACTCAAAACGCCTCAATCATGCATGTCCCTTACATCTTCTTTCTTACAGTACGATAAATCATATTTTAATCGTGATCATTATTTCTACTTTTCTTCATTATTTAAGCAAAACCGTCTGCAAGCTTTTTCCTAAAGATACACGTAGCCAAGTGTTTTTATCTTCCCAACCTGGCAACAATGTGCAAATCAAGCACTGATCATCTAAAAACACCTGCAAACGTTTAAGTTGGAGTTTAGCGATCTCCACTGCGATCTTTTTCTCAAAAGAAAGTTTAATACAGCTAGTCTGTTTTCGTTCACATGGCTGTTTGCCGCGACTAAATCTGCGAGAAAACCTGAACTGTAACAAATCCAAACATGAACCACAAATATATTGTTTGCAATTGCGACTGCTGAATAACTGCACTTGCGCTGTTGTTTTAACATAATTTGGAAATGTGGGAATCAATATTACGAAATTTTGTTAGTTTAGCTTTTGAGAGAACGTTCTTGTTGTACTGGTTTTCAATGTAAAGCGTGTGTGTGTGTATTTATATATGATAAGTATATCTAGATCCTAAACAAGGTCCAATAAACCACAAGAGTTGACGTTTTATATGAAAGTGCAATAATTCTGAATATATTCTGAAATAATAATGAAATCCAAAAAGAATTTTTAAAAATGATAATAATTATGCTTATTGATCATTTCTGAGCAAAATAATTGTGATTATCAGTTTAACCATTATCGTACCGCCCTACTATGTATTATATTGCAGTTCCTAATAAATGTAACAACAAGCTAGTAATTATATTTACTTTCTCATGTAAGTTTTAGTGACTTGGCCAGTCTACCGAGATATCATGGACAAAGCATTTACCTTTTTGAGCCAGAAGACAGATCTAAATCTTGAGAAGCATCTCCTTTCGCCTGAGAGACATCACCTTTATGAAAGACATGCGAGGTGTCCTCTGTGTTGTCTGAGAATATAGAAAAGGGGTTAGATGATACTAAGTGACTTTGAACATGTGACAAATTATGTGTCGATATACCAAAACATATGCAAAACACCAGTTCAATTCCAAACACAGACAGTTTTGCTAACAAATATAACAGGAGTATAACAGGTGAAGCACCTGGCAGTTGATTGAACTGTTCCTCGAACGCTGACACACTGAAGGCGTGCTGTGGTTTCTTGCGGCTCAGTCCTCTGACCACATGCGTCAGGGGTTCAGTGTTCAGAGTCAGGTCAGACAGCTCTACTCCAGACAGACCTTCACTGAGGAAAACACAGACACATGAACACAACATGAGGAGGATTACAAGCATATGTGATTAAAGAGGTACTGACGTTCTCTCTCCAGCACTGGACTCGGCTGGATTCGGCTCTGATTTTTGAAGTGCAGGCTGACCCGACATCAGCAGCGATGCTTCAGTCTCTGAAACACACATGGGAGAATCATTAAAAACAGGGATTTTCTGCTTTCAATTTTTTGACGACTATGTGTGCAAATGCTTGGGCTGGAGAAGCAAATGTAATATTTTATAAAAAAAAGTTTTTGAAGAATTTGCCAAATTAAATCTGATTATTTAGCAATTAGTTATGCCTATATTGGTTATAATACGCATTATTGCAATGAACGCGATATTGCGTAGCTTGTCAGTGAACTACGGCTCTGTGCATTAAATGCTGCTCCATCTGAAAGCACATGATGGAGATTTACTACTAATCACAGTACCGGATTTACTGACGAGATTTTTGCATGACAATCGCATTCGATTAATTGCACAGCCCTAAGTACAGATAATTGTCAATAATTATGTTAGTCATTAATTCTTAACATTTTTTTTTTTTTTAACTCAATTATAAAAAAATTGAAATAATATGATAGATTGAATCTCCTAAATCTATAAGACTCTCTAACCATTAGGCCACGACTTCCCCTGATGCACATATAAATATATATACACACGCATATATGTATATATTTAAAAAAATATTTGTATGTATACATATTTATGCAATATATAAATATAAATAAATATCAATATTTTATATATAAATTAGTGCTGTCAAATGATTAATCGCGATTAAATCGCATCCAAAATAAAAGTTTTTGTTTACATAATATATGTATGTGTACTGTGTATATTTATTATGTATAAATACACACACATGCATGTATATATTTCAGAAAAATATGAAAAGAAAACACGCGGTATTGCGGTTATCGCGACAGCCCTAATAAATATAGACATGTAAATATTTTCAAAATATATACTGTATGTGTGTGTATTTAAAAATACATAATAAATATGCACAGAACACACACATATATTAAGCAAACAAATTTTTTTTTTTTGAACCGATTAATCGCAATTAATCGTTTTGCAGCCCTACAACTGACATAAAATAAGTTTGAATTGCTAAAAATACTAAAACTGAAATAATATAAATATTTTTTTAAACTAATGAAAATTATAAAATCACAAAATACAAAAAAAAACTACAATTAAAATCTAAACTGAACATTTAAAAATAAAATGTAACAACAATAAAAGTTCAAAATAATAAATACTATAAATAAAATTAAAATAACACTGGTACATTCATAACAGCATACCTATAAAGATCTATATTAAACTATAAACATTTCCATGACTTTTCCAGGACTGGAAATCAAAATTCCAATAAAAACAGGTTTTCCATGACCATGAGACTCTGGATCTCTTTAATAATACACCTGGATGTGGATGTGTTTCTTGACATTTATTAGTTCATTCCTAAAAATTTGGCAGTGAGTTTTGACTCACCCATCTGAATGATCCCCCTGAGCAGACCACGAGTGGTCATGTCCTCGTCATACACTGGGGACGGGGCTGTGACAGGAGGCTTCGTATTTGCCACCGCTGACCTCGGCCGTTTAGGTGAAGGAAGGGGTGACGAGGAGGCACTCTGAAATAGAAGAAAAATGTATTAGGGATGCAATCATGTAGAATATGCATTTGCAACACATCAAATTGCTTATTTAAACACCAAGCAAACCTCATGGAGCTTCTTCTTGAGTCTGTGTCGTAAGGCAGATCCAGGACTCTCCAGTCCAGGGGTGTTTTTTAGCCTCATGCTCCGCCGTACATTTGTTGCACTGAAACACATATAAAATATGTATGTTAGATACATATTATACGCACAATAAATTTGAATTCTTATAAAAAAAATTGTATTAATATTATTTGTTTATAAAGTTAACACGAGTGTAACGAGTTTTCAGCCATTTTGCCACTGTGTTAATTGTAAAAACGATCAAACTAAGATATAATACTAATATACACATTAACATTGCCGTGTACATTACCATGCCAATCCCTCTGAGAGTTTTCATGATAGAAATACATATATATATATATATATATATATATATATAATTCTCTGATTCGGGAATGGTGTTTTGAAGCCCCAAATAGAGCAGGTAAGGGCCGAGGGCAAACGATGCTTGTCACTGACAGGTGTGTATGTATATGTCATATGGTGATAGCCAGCAAAGTATAACAATGCTGAAAAGGCTAAAATGAAGTTGTTTAGCTATTGTTTTGTTCTCAAAGAGAGACAGAGCACTTGAGAAAGTGTATATGTTCGGAAGACATGAAATGACGTTTTCCTCTTCAAGATGGTGAGATGTTCTCCGCTTTCAAAACCATTTCTTATTTATAACACATTTTTATATTTACAGGTTCATCAATAGCGAGTGAGTCAGTTATTCTGAGAGGCTGCTCAGTTCATTCAACATAAAACATCATAATTCATCAATAAGCGCTTTGTTAAACATAATAAAAGCATTCAGCATTAAATAGCAGATCTGTGGCATGTGCGAATTTTCATTTCCACGATGCTGCCTGTAGAGATGTAGATGTTTTGGGCTTCAAACCTACTTAAGAATCAAAAAAAATAATACAGAGCACTTGAGAAAGCGTGTATGTTCGGAAGACATACGAAATGACGTTTTCCTCTTCAAGATGGTGAGATGTTGTCCGCTTTCAAAACCTTTTCTCATTTATTACACGTGTTTATATTTACAGGTTCATCAATAGCGAGTGAGTCAGTTATTCTGAGAGGCTGCCCAATTCATTCAACATAAAACAATTCATCAATAAGCGCTTTGTTAAACATAATAAAAGCATTCAGCATTAAATAGAAGATCTGTGGCATGTGCGAATTTTCATTTCCATGATGCTGCCTGTAGAGATGTGGATGTTTTGGGCTTCAAACCTACTTAAGAATCAAGAAAAAATAATAATAAAAGAAAAAAAAAACTAAAATTTTAAATATGGAAAACCTCTCCTGGACCCAAAAGGACTGTGAGAGATAATTAAAAAATCTAAAAAGAAAAGTTTAAATTAGTATGTGCCTCAGGGATGGTGAGTAAACAGTGGAAGATGACGGAAAAAAAATCTCTTCACAAAAGAAAAAAAACCCCCTGAAAAATCAAACTCCCCTTTGTCAAACCACAGTGATTACATTAAAAAGGGGAAATAATCAGTTGAATTAAAAACCTCCAAGTCTATTCTTCAGGTTAAGAGAGCCATACAAACGCTCACAGCTCGCATGATGTATGTTAAATGTCTGGTTAACCTGTACATTTGGCTCAGAGTACATTTAGACCATTACATATATATATATACCCGGCGAAACCAATGAGGTTGCGAGGTTCTCGGCTGGGTGCTCCACAGGGTAAAATCATGAAGACATGAACAAAACAACTGTCACAATAAATACATACCCATATCAACAGGACATTAGCATATTAATGAGTGTAAATATAGCCCCTCCCTTGTCCGACAAACAAAAACAGCGTTTGAGCATGATGATTGGACGGTTAAGGTAAAGCGGGAAGTCTTAATAGATCAAATGAATGAAAATGTAAATCCCTGAAGGGACATTAGATAAAAATGAGTTGGATAAGATGGCAAAGAGACGGACAGTATTAATAATTGCACTGGAAGGGCGGAGACAGAGGAGGTGCCAGGGCAAGCAGACATGCTATTGGCCAGTGAAGCCCCACCCCTGATGTGTGCCACAGCCATGTGAGCAACCAATGGCCAGCAGCTGTTATCTTTGGGAGGTGGAGTCAAAGGGTCTAAAGGGGTGTGGCCTGATGAAGGAGTGAGGTCATGAAGAACTTTAATGCTGCGTTCCATTCAACTTGAGAAAGATTCCAGCTAGTGCAATCGAAGGGCACTTAAAGACATTTCACATCATACAAACAGAAGTATGATTGATTTAAAGTTCCTACATCATAAATTTATATATGAATGTTTTAAGCTGTGTAAAACGTGATTTGTTGATAAGCATACACCTGTAAAACATGCTTGCATTGCCATTTTGTTTCTTTATACACTAAAAGTTTAGAATAATTACAATTTATTAATGTTTTCGAAAGAAGTCTCTTCGGCTCACCAAGGCTGGAATTATTTGATCAAAAATACAGCAAAAACAGTAATATTGTGAAACATCATTACAATTTAACTTTTATCTGTTGTCTATTTTAATATATTTAAAAATTTCATTTATATTTATATTCTTTTGAAACCTTGATACACTACCATTCAAAAGTTTGAGGTAAAAGTGACAGTAAAGATATTTATGTTACAAAAGATTTCTGTCTTTTGAACTTTCTATTCATCAGATTCCTGAATAAAAATCAAGGTTTCAGCAGCAAAAACTGTTTTTTGCATTGATGATGATAAGAACCATTATTAATAACTGAGCGCCAATCATAATTAAGCAGCAAATCGGCATATTAGAATGATTTCTGAAGGAGTAATGATGCTGAAAATTCAGATTTGCATCACAGGAATAAATAACATTTTAAAACATACTTAAAAATAAAACAGTTATTTTAAATTGTAATAATATTCCACAATTTTACTGTATTTAATTACACAGAAATACAGTAATAATATTCCACAATTTTACTGTATTTTTATTTAATTAAATGCAGCCTTAGCGAGCAAAATAGACTTCTTTCAAAACATTACAAATCTTAAATGTTCCCAACTTTTGGCCAGTAGTGTACATCATCTTTCCAGCATCAAGCTATATATAGCAGGAATATGAATGGAACGCAGCACTGTTGTGGTACCAAAAATTCAGCTCCTTTTACAGACCACATTCCCAGGGTTTTAGTTCGAGGAAAGGTGAGGAAATCGGACGACACATACATACACTCACTCGCACAGGCTGAAAGAAACGTTAGCGCCGTTCAGCAGCGATGAAGAGCCGTAAAGCAAAATGATATATGCAGATCATATTCACCTCCTTATAAAATAACGGACAGGTAATAAATCGAAATGCCATAATATTTCTCTGATTCGCTGTTAAAGTTCCTCTCTACAGCAGGAGAATTTAGGCCGAGAGGTCTCTATAGCCTCTTCCTCTGTTCCTCTCTTTGTTTTGTGTCTGTCTCTCATCTGTCTCACTCTAGGGCGGTTCATGGAGAGTAGGCTGTAGTTTTCCACACATATGGCTGCTGTTTGCCCTGCACCACTGAGTCCTCCTTCCATACTTTACGAATCTGCAGTCATACAAACAAACAAACAAACATATGAAAAACAAAAGCAAAAACATGTTAGACTCGGTGAAGGGATGGATTCATGCCCTCTATGAAAGGCTTTTCAAACTCTAACTAACCCTGGGTTATCTTCTTTTTATTTTTAGTTCATTTCCATTCATGACCCTGGACCACAAAACCAGTCTTAAGGGTCAGAAATTGAGATTTATACATCAAAGCTGAATAAATAAGCTTTCTATTGATGTATGGTTTGTTAGGATCGGACAATATTTGGATGAGATGCAACTTTTTGAAAATCTGGAATCTGAGGGTGCAAAAAAATCTAAATATTGAGAAAATTGCCTTTAAAGTTGTCCAGATGAAGTTCTTAGCAATGCATATTACTAATCAAAAATTAAGTTTTGATATATTTATATATATATTTATATATGTATATCCAAATATACCCCAGCGACTTAAGACTGGTTTTGTGCTCCACGGTCACATTTTACACCAGTGTTGTTTCAGTTATATTTATATACGATTATAGTATTTATTAATATTTTGAATTAGCTGTTATTTTTCATTTTAATTGGAAAGTTCTAGCAATTCTGTTATGTGCTTTTGTCATTTTTATTAGTTTTTGTTTTCTTTTTTTTTTATTTAAGTTTTTAGTTTTAGAATTTTTTGCTTTAGCGACTTATTTTACAAGTTGTCAAGGCAACATTTCAATTTTTTTTTAATGTTTTTACGTTTAAATTTGTCACCTAATATACATTTTATTTCGGCTTTATTCCAATTCACAAAAATGCTTTTTAATAGTTTTATTTTTAATAACTACAAAGCCTCACACAAAACACAAAAAATAGAAATCTTTCCCATAATTTAATAATTTGTTCCTGTGATATATTAATCAGTTCCCTGGTTTTTGGTAAATCATGGTCACAATTTAAATCAATTAAAACAATGTACAACCCGACCACGATTTAACTAAAACAAGGGAATAAATTAATAAGCCCTGAGAACAATTTCTTAATTGCGCTAGTAATTTCAAAACTACAGTGCCAAATGTACACAGCAATTAACCCATGATAAACTAACAGTGTGAAACATGGAACAAGATAATCCAGGGTTAAAAATAACTATGATAAGAAGTGTGAAAAGCCTAAACACACACATATGGCATATATGCTTAAATGAGCTGTACAGTTACAAAATGAACTGGAAAATGACAATAAAAAACACATAGGATTGTTTGTAGGATGACTTATAATATGCATGATTTGTTGGCAAGAGTAATTCAGTGTTCTTGGTTGAACTCAAGAACAAATGTGACCTGAAACACACTCAAACATGCATTTATGCAGTGAAAAACTGCCAAAAACTCACTCAAACACTCATGTTTTTCTCAACAATCAAGATTTGCATGAAGGTTATCCCTCTGTCGGTTTGTGAATTGTATCAGGTTTTTGTGTGCATGTTTGCACCTCATTTTGCAGACAATTCTAACTTAAAGGTGGCACACATAGGTTCATGCATTTTTAAACTGAAATAAAAGTCGGACTTCAACACTTCATTCAGAGGAAATCACACTTGTGCAGTATTAAACTGTTTTAAATGTCAAAGGCAATTCATTCTAGATCTCTTCAGTCACACACTGTTAATGCACTCAACTAGTACTCCGTCTCACCCTCAGAAAGACAAACCCTTCTCCAGGAAAACACATCTGTGAGGAAACATTCAGAAAAGGTTCATATTCACGTCATATTTCATCTCAGCTCTTAGGAATAAAGATCAGGAGCACCAAACATGATTGTGTGGACGTGGCACATACTATGCAATCATGTTTAATGAATGCATACTTTGCTTTTACACATTTATATGATGTTTTTGTAAATCATTTGTTTTTTCCAGGGTTATTTCTTCTTTTTAAGACTCAATATCAAGTACAAGTGTTGAGATTGAATACAATGTCAACAAATAATACAGCTAAAGAAGCAAAAAGGCAGTCTTTGTCTAACACGTGTTACACAAATATATTTTGTGAAAAGGAAATGATACTATTTTATGCGACTTGTAAACTGGTTATTATTACTAGCGCTTGACTAGTGGTTATGAAATTGTTTTTTCGGGGGAAAAACACTAGCATAATTTGACCTTAAGTTCATTTACATATGAAAACATTACAAAAACTTGTATGTGTCTCCTCTTATATGTGTGTGTTGCATTTGTCTATACATTTAGTTGGAGTGATCTAACATGCATTGCTACTCAAAATGACAAGATACTACCGCCATATTAAACTACGGTGGGCTAATATCTAAAACCATCATGTGCTAAGACACATACAATTATTTAGCCATTCAGTTTCAGAAAAAAAGTCTAAAAAGTCACATTGTTGGCTTGGAGAGATTTAGGATCACACACACACACCCTAGCCGTCTCCTTCAGTGTTCATATACACAAACACACTTCTGAGACTTCACAGGACCTAAAGCTTTGGGTCATATGTAGGTTATGGCACCTTTGGCGTTGGAGTCCAGAAAGACCTCGACGTAGGATGAGGGGACGTAACCCTCCTCTTCCTCGTTTCTTCTAACACGCGTCCATCCGTCACCTTTGTCTTCCTCTATTACATACAAGAGCTCACCCTCCGTTACTGAGATGGTGCCTTCATTAACACCTACAGAGAAAATTGGAAGAAAATCAATCAATCAATCCATCAATAAATAATTCAAATATGTATATACAGTGCAGTTTACAAGTTTGTGGTCAATAAGATTATTTCATGTTTTTAAAAGAAGCCTCTCATGCTCATCAGAGCCGCATTTATGTGATAAAAAAATACAGTAAAATCAGTAATATTGTGAAATATTATTACAATTCAAAATAAGTGTTTTCTATTCAAATATGTTTAAAATATAATTTATTCCTGTGATGCAAAGCTGAATTTTCAGCATCATTACTCCAGTCTTCAGTGTCACATGATCTTTCAGAAATCCTTCTAATATGCTGATTTACTGCTCAAGAAACATTTCTTATTATTATCTTATAATGTTGAAAACGGTTGTGCTGCTTCATATTTTTGTGAAAACGCAGATACTTTTTTCAGAATAAGTAGATGAGTAGAAACAGAAATCTTTTGTAATATTTTAAAGGGGTCATATGATGCGATTTCAATTTGTCCTTTCTACAGCATAAACACATTTCATTACACCAAATACACAAAATAATGTTCTTTTTAGCAGCATCATATGACCCCTTTAAATGTCTGTACTATCACTTTTGATCAATTTAATGTGTCCTTGATGAATAAAAGTATTCATTTCTTTAAAAACTATTACTGGCCTCAATATGGTAGCACTTACTATAAGGTTCCATTAGTTAACATGAGTTAATGCATTAACTAACAATTTACTAACAATGCGCATTTCAGTATTTATTAGTTAACAAAAATACAAATGTTCATTTTTAGTTCATACATTGATAGATACATTAATAAAAGTTCAAACAAACTAAAATGAAATGCTTAAGTATTTTTCATGATTATTTATAATGTAGTTAACTGATGTTAACAAATGGAATCTTATTGTAAAGTGTTCCTACACATATATGAAGAAATCACTTTTTTGAGGTTTTATTACTTAAGTACTCAAGTGCTTTGTTGACAAAAGACAGTGAGGCAGCTCACTAGGGTTTGAAATGGAGCCCATATTTTTGTTTAATTATGTATTTATATTGTTTATTATGCATTTATACATGAAATACCTTCAAACGGGTAGAGGGCTTTGCAGGTGCCGATGGTGGGTAGTATTTCTTCATCTGCATCATCAAATTCATCTCCAGACTCCGCCGTTTCGGGCTGGACTTTACTCTGGACCTCAGAACTCGGTTCCTCTGTATAACTGCCATCCGGACTGCTCCATCACACACACGCACACACACACACGTACACAATAACTATAGCACCTGTTTGCAAAGTACTGCGACTGCAAAGTGACTGTAAGTGTATGTATATGTTACTATTAACAATAATAATAATCTTATTTGATAATTTTGTGTGTGTGAGAGTGTGTACCTCTCTCTATCCTGTGCGCAGTTGTTGTTAGTGGTGGGTGGTGTGCTGTTTTGGGTCTCGTACAGGGCACTCGTCCTCCGTGGAGGGTCACTCTTTACTGGCATCCTTCCTTCGACCTCCGCTAACCAGCCCTAAAACACACACACACACTCATTTCCACTGAACTGAAGCTCTCATCCAGGCCTGTGCTGCATTAAATGACACGCACCTCGAATTTCTGAGCCTCCGCCTGCAGTTTCTCAATGTTGTGGCCGATCTCTGCTAACCGAGGGTCCACGCTGTTGGGATCCCCCATCTGTGGGTTCTTTATGTACACTTCCTTCATTTTAGTCAAAGCATCTCTGCAGAGAAAAAATACATATATACATTTTGCTGAATAAAACCTGTCAAACTCTGGCCTAGTCAAAAAATATTGCAGAAGGATTATTGTAGTGCATTTTCTACTGAAATGTCATAATAGGGAGTCTTGATTTTTATGTTATATTCTTGAGTCCTACTGAATATTGCATATCTTTTTCAAAACTCAATTCATATCGTATTGAATAATGTTATGCTGCTGGAAACTTAAAGATGGCTAAAGTTATAGAATTTATTTAAATTTGAGTTCTTTTAGACATAAAGTAATGATGGAAATATATAAATATGTATGCAAATAAATAAGTAAAATAATAAGCATGTAAATAAATAAAATTGTTAATTAATAAATAATAAAGGTTGCAAATGTATGCAAATAAATAAAATAAGTAAATAAATATGTAAATAAATATAATAAGTAAATAAATAAATAAATACATAAAAAATAAAATAAAACAAGAAAGTAATTGGTAGGCAGGAATAATATAAAAATCAGAAAAAGTGTACAATCTGCTATAAAAGTATCAATACTTTGTAAAATAAGCTGACAAAGTCTTTTGACTTTTGAAAGAGTCTTTATTACTGTCTATGTATCCACTGGGATTTTTGACTAGTCAGTGTATGACAGGATATAGGAGTTTGTGTGTGTTTGTCCATGTCTGTGTACCTCTGGTCCATCTCTTTCTGTATGTCTTTATTGATGTCGTCAATCTTCGACTGAAGCTTCTTCCTTCTCTGCTCTGGAGGAAGATGACTGAAGTCCTCAGGATTTGAACCCTATGAGGAGACAGAGAGGATGACAGACAAACAGTGAGTATCTGCCCTTAAAATAACTGACACTGTCCTGTTCTGCCAATACATAAACTAATATGCATATGTATAAACGGGGCGGGTCAAACCAGGACACATCCAATCACATCAAGTGGCTATTAAAGAATCTTCTGTTCCTGTCATCTGGTTGGCTAGCTGCCTTTGGGAAGGAGCCAATCAGCTTTCAAATCAAGTGTTTATCAAAGACAAACCAGATGAGATAATTAAATCTAAGATCAATGATTAACCTATTCAGTCCAATGCCAACAACAACATCGATTAAACAGTTCTCATAAAATAAACTCTTATCTTGCTCACTCATCTTTGAAATCTGATTCTGGTTGATCAGAGAGATTTAGTTTGGATCTGTCCTTATGTGCCCTCTTTCTCGCTGTTCCTGTCTACATTAATGTATCAATACTGATTGAACACTTCATCACTGCTTTTTCCACATTAGTTCTCTCTGACGGGCATTATTTGCCATTATTTCAACCACATGGTGGCGCTAAAGAGCCGTGAATTTGGGAAGGTTAAACCTGCTGCAATGATTTTTAACCCTATGAAGCCTACTGTATCATATTTGATACACACATTTAAGGCCTCACATTTAAATGATCAACATGATTAAAATTCTACACAATCTACTACATGCCTTCTATCATCTGATGGATACTTTGTTTAACAAAGTAAAAAGCCTTTTAGTATAAATGAGGTCATGGTACATGTCTTTTTGCTGTGAAATCTTAGTAAACGTGTGGATAACTTTTATATTGATAGCAATATTTCAAGATGAACACATTATTATTATTATTATTATTATTATTATTTGTTAATCTATCAGTCATCATTGCACTGCATCGCATTATATGTTTTGATCATAAATCTATGCATTTAAATATCATCTTACTCAGACAAATTACTGGGAGATTTAGAGTGAAAACTGATATTTGCATACATTTTATGTAAGTATTCTGCTATACTTTTTATAAAGATCTCATTGATTTACAAGCTATCAGAATTTCATCTTACTTTTTGGCCATATAAATATCAGAAGCTGCACCAAATTGCATATTTTTGCTCCGTTTGAGGCTGAATGAATTTTTTTCTTCCTCATGTATGAGCTCCATATTATTATCTATTTATCATCCATATGAGCCACAAGAGACTGAGTTATCAAATACGATACTCAACAAATAACACACATGCAAACTTTTATTTGAAGATTTGATCAAATGTTCAATAAACTGTACCAAAAAAAAAAAAAGTTTGGACTGAATAGATCTTTCTACAGTCCTGCCCACAGGTCAATGCAAATGCTAAAAGGTCAAAGGTCACATGGCAGGCACATCGACCTTACCCCTTCTTCCACATCACCATCCTGTCATGCAACAATAAACAACCAGATTTATCTGAGCATGCATTGCACTGTCACTCAAAATACAGTTAAATAAAACCACAAAATCAGTCCAGGCAAATTTTAAAAATTAATAATCAAGAGCTACACAAGCACAATATACATGCTACACTCACTGTTGTACTCACCCTCTTCAAAACAAAGACAAATTGTTAAAATAAAATGTTAAATATGTAACATTTTGATTCTTTACAAATAAAAATAGATCTAAATAAAATAAAACCAACTCAAAGAAATTATATGGATCAATATATGCATATCTATAAACAGATTGATGATTAAATATAACCAAACATTACCTGCAGTGTAATAGTCAACTAAATCATACTACACCATCAGTGATTCAATAATCACACGTAAAAAGTTTTGGGCGGGGCTAAAATAGCAAGACACTCCCTGATTGGTTAAGATACTTGATTTATTCTAATCACTGATAATTATTAATAACACTAATATTTTACATTATTTTTTTCACCCTCATGTCATTAAAAACCAATCTGACTTCATTTCTTCGGTGACGCACAAAATAAGATATTTTGCACAATTTGCATGCTGCTCTTTTCCACATAATGAAAGTGAAATGTAAAATTAAGCATGTCCCACAGAAAAAAAAATCAAGCCAAAGGTTTAGGAAGACATAAAATAAAGACTATATAATAATTTTGCACGTGAACTATCCCTTTAACTTACACTATAACTACATTCAAAATGATGACATTTCAGCATATTATGCCACACATCTGGATAGGGATCAAATTAATCAAGTTATTTGAAACATATAAAGACCGAATCAGGGACAGATAAATAAACACAGGGACAAAGAAAGGGTTTCAGATCACCTCAATAAGGTTCCGCACGTGGGCATTGAGTGAGAGCTACACAGAGGGACAGTCACAACGGCAACAAGACAAAACAAAACAGACATCAACAAAAAGATAAATCAGACAACAACATGGTTTTGAACTTAAATACACACGAAGGTAAAATTAAATAGCAAAACAATACCAGAAGTGTCGTTAAAGGGATAGTTCACCCAAAAATGAAAATGTGCTGTTCATTTACTCACCCTCAGGCCATTCAAGATGTAGGCGACTTTGTTATTTTTTTTTATTTTTTTAAGTAGAACAGTAAAGAAGATTTTTAGCTGAAACTGTGGTCCTTGGTGAATCATAAAATGCAAGTCAATGGCTACCGTGACTTTGAGAGTCAAAAAAGCATATACAGGCAAGGCCAAATTAATACCCGTGGCTCCTGACAATATATTGAGGTCTTATGAAGCGAAATGATTGGTCTGTGCAAGAAACTGAACATTATTTCTAACATTATTACCTCTAATTCATAGCTTCAGGCAAACAGGGAAATCGGATTCTTTTCCACAAATTGCTTCTTTCAGATCGTTCATTTAAATGAACTAGTTCAATTCACTCATTTGTTTACGTAATCATGCAATGACGTATATGCAATTATATTATTAAAGCACCCAATAATGATGTAAAACATGGATGTTTTACATGTCCAGAGCATATAGTGAATAAACTTGTCTCCATCAACTCGCCTTTTTACATAAACAATGAGAAACCATAAAACTTTCATTTGGCCCCTTCGTTCAAGTGCTTAGCTCACGTATGCGCATATCAGCAGCTCATTGGTCTTCGGTCCGAGTCAAGCGGAGTCAGATCTGGAGCCCTGAATGAGTTGCCAAAAACCAGCATTACAGGATCATATACACTGATATTTTGGCTCGTTCTGAGTCTGAAAGTGAGTTTTGATTGAGCAACTTGTAGATCTGTGCTGCTCGAGTCGTGAACTGTTTCAGATGGTTCAGTCCGATGTGGTGAACTGGTTTATTCAGTTCACTAAAAAGAATCAGTTCAAAAGAATGATTTGTTCGCAAACCGGACATCACTCTGGACCGTTTGCCTGGATTACAGGTAATAATGTTGTAAATAATGTTCAGTTTCTTGCACAGACTGATCGTTTTGCTTCATAAGACCTCAATATATTGTCAGGAGAACTGGTATTAATTTTGCATTGCCTGCATACACTGTAAAAAATTATTGTGATTTTAACAGTAAAAGAATGAAATACGGTATTTTATTGTGAATTTAAGTTAAGTCTGTAAAACCTACAATGTTGCTACCATATTTTTTACGGTGAAGTTCTGGCAACCACAGCTGCCGGTATTTTACCGTAAATGTCACAGATTTTTTTTTTACAGTGTATGTTTTTTTGACTCTCAAAGTGCTGATAGCCCCTGACTTGCATTTTATGAATCCCCAACTACCAACTGTTCTACTGAAGAAGAAAAAAGTGATCTTGGATGGCCTGAGGGTGATTAAATTAACAACAAATTTTCATTTTTGGGTGAACTACCCTTGTAAACAAAAATAACCATAAGGGTTGAACACAAAGGAACAAAGCGATGTTAAAGGACCATGTGTTACTACAGCGACGGACATGCTACGGTCATGCCGCTTCTGACATGCTACTGAGGTCATGCTTACCAGCTTTAAAGAGAGCTTCTCACGGACGAAAAGAGAGAGCGATCGAGGGAATGAACCGAGAGAAGAGAGAAAACATCAGAGGGAGCAACTTCAGACCAGTGTACACGTCATACACACGCATGCAGGTGTGTTCATGCCTTATGATGTCATTGATGAAGCTCACTACATCACAGTTCACTTTTGGCCAGCCATCAGTATTTTGTGCTCCGTCATAAAACAGATTTCTGCTGGCAGAGCCATGGGAAATCAAGTTGAAAGCCTCACTTTGGCACTTGAATGGAGAAAATGTCGCATTAGCGGAAGTACAGGCCTTCTATGCGCATTTATATTCCAGAAACTTGAAATATTCCAGAATGTTCTAAACATTTAAAGGGACAGTCCACTAAAAAAATTAAAATTCTGTCATCATTTACTTACCCTCATGTCATTCAAGACCTGTATGCATTTCTTTCTTCTGTGGAACACAAAAGAAGATATTTTGAAGAATGTTTGTAACCAAATGGTTTCCGTTCCCCTTTTCTTCCATTATATGGACTAAAATACTATGGGAGTCTATGGGAACCAAAACTCTTTGTTGCCAACATTCTTCAGAGAAATGCATACAGGTTTGGAATGACCTGACAGAATGTTCATTTTGGGTTGACTGTCTCTTTAAGGTTAAGTTGATAAATTCAAAATTGTAATGTTGCAATTTTTAGCAATATTTTACTTAATTATTCAACAAAACCGTTTTACTGCTGTAGCTTGATGCATTTGCATACAACGAGAAAAAATAGGATGCAATTTGACTTTATTCATCAGGAATTGACTGCCATTTTCTTTTCATGCAGTGAACTTCAGCAGGTACCAATGAACCAGTTATTTCACACAATGTTACAGAGTCACATGAGGATGACATCATCAGTCCTAAAGCAATAGTCAGTCAATAAACAGAACACATCAGGGATGGGTGTACAAGAGAGAAGACAGAGGAAAGAGAAACAAAAATTAAAATATTCTGAATAAATGGGCTTGTTTTTGCGGCAGCCGTCACACCAGAGAGGATTCTGGGTAATCGTACCTGAGAAGGGATCTCAAAACAAAGCAATTCATGGAGGAAAAGTAGAAGTGTGGTAAAAATGTGAAGTAAACAATTGGTTTTGACTGAACACTTGAGATTACTAAATTATTATTATTATAATCAAGAGATTAATAAGAGATTATTTTAAACGAAAAGCATGACATAAAATGAGACATAAATAACTATGTGAATAAAAAAATGTTAATATATAATTTAAAAACAAAATATTAAACATAATAAAATGTAAATATAAAGATAATTTAAAAAAGTATGATTATGCAAAATACAGAATATAGATTTTTTATTTTATTTTATTAAAATGTATTAAAATATGCAAAACACATGAAAATTAGGAAGTATATTTATTTATATATTTATTTTGTGGACTTTGGAAAATATTATTTTATTTAAAAAAAACTAGATAAAATACACGTGTATAATTACCTATGCAAATAAAAAACAACACATATAATCTAAAAACAAAATAATAAAAATGAATTAAAATATATAAAAAAATAGCTAGTTTGTTTATTTATTGACTGCACTTTGGAATAAAGCATAAAGCATGATTATGAAAAAATAAATTATTATGAAGCTATGAGAGCAACAACCTCTGATTTTGTCAAAACTATTTCTGTGAAGACTTTTCTCTGGACTTCTTTATATTTTAGGGTGCTCAAACTATGGAGCTATTTTCTGAGGTTTTGACAAATGTATAAATGCACTGACAAGACGTAACATGTTTAAAGACTTTTCAAACTCATGAATGCGCAAACAGGATGTAGAATTCAACGCGTTTGTAACAGACATAGATAGTGAATACAGACGGGATTGTTTGTGTGAACGTGATGTACATATAGAGATAAACATCCAATATCTCAAAGCAGCGAAATGACACCAAAAGGGGTGAATTCTGAATGTATCCTTGTGTGTGAGAAAGTGTTACGAGCACCAGAAGGGTCAAAGATGATCGTGAATGCGCTAGGCTTGCATTCAGAAGTCACACTCGTGACACTTTGAGAATTAACCCCTCCCACACAAGCTGATTTGCTGCCAGAGCACAGGGGCGGAGCCAGTCTGCTGGAGTTGCACGTGGGAGGTGGGGTCAAAAGCCGGAAGAGCCAATGAGAGAGTCAGTTGATGATGATGTAACTTTTCTCAATTACAAATGGATTTTAATACCGAATATCAGACATTAACCTCATTCATGGGAAGAATTCAAAGTGATACAAATTAATGAAGAAATTCAGATTTTTTTTTAACAATATCACATTAATTAAAAAAAAAAAAAAAAACACTAAATGAGATTAAGTCTGTTAAATGTATTAACTCTATTTCAGATATCATTCAAGCACACACACACACCTCTGTTTCAATAATAAAAAAAAAATAATAATAATCTGTACTAATAATAATCAAAAACTAACCCGAACAGCAAATTAATAATAATATTTTAATAAAAATATAATAAATTGATTTTAAATTGAATTGATTTTCCCCAAAAAGAGGTTTTTGTCATATTTAGCTCACTTTTATGGATACATTTGTACATCTAAGTATGAATAAGTAAACCCACACACACTCTTGCCTCCTCTCACACACTTACGACATATTGCCTGGCCTCGAAAGCATATGTAGGCCGACCGAGAGTCCTCTTCATGATTTCTTTATTATAATAGAGAGACTGGGCAGACTGCAGCAAAGAATAAACCCTAATTAAACACACACACACTCACGCATAACTATACAAACACACACTCGCTTGCACACACCATCACTCTACAAACACACTTTAATACAAAAATATACAATAAAAACATTTATACACTAGAACAAACACACATACACACATTTGTGTCAATAAACCTGCATACATATATAATTCAAACACACACACACACACCTAACTGACTATCAGGCACCAAAACAAACTCACAGACACACTGATATCATTCTTCAAGATGTTCACTGATTATTATAGTCTTACATAATAAATAAGTATGTGACATGCTCTAGTGTGTATATTACAGTCTACTAGAGTAGCCAGCAAAAAATAACATACATTATTAAAACAAATCCAACTTCTTCAATAACAATGCTCTAAAACACTACCACTGAAGTTTGGGGTCAGTAAGACTTTTTCATGTTTTTGAAAGAAGTCCCTTATATGTTCACCAAGGCTGCATTTATTTTATTAAAAATACAGAAAAAATAGTAATATTGTCAACTATTATTACAATTTAAAATAACTGTCTTCTATTTGAATATATTGCCAAATGTAATTTATTCCTGTGATGCAAAGCAGAATTTTCAGCATCATTACTCATGTTGTACAGACGTGACAGTTTTAAAGAAGATGCGCTGCCCAAATTTGGAAGCTCTTTTCATTAACTGTAAGCCTTATGTATGTATGTATGTATGTATGTATGTATGTATGTATGTATGTATGCATGTATGTATGTACCAGGAGCACCTTAAAAAACCACAACAAATTCCTCGTGTGTTTGCACACCTGGCGAATAAAGCTAATTCTGATTCTGATTCTGATTACTCAAATCATTTTAAGAAACATTTATTATTATTATTATTATCAATGTTGAAAACAAAGCTTTTTAGGATTCTCGGATGAATAGAAAGTTCAAAAGAACAGTACTTATTCAAAACAGAAATCTTTTGTAAGATTATAAATACTACATTTACTATCACTTTTGATCAATTTCATGCATTCTTGCTGAATATAAGCCTTCATTTTATTCTGACCTCAAACCTTCAAAGAGTAGTGTACATCAAATCATATAAACCATAAACACATATATTATAAATAAGCCGGGAGCACAAATGACGACAATGAACGTGTCAAAGACCTTCATATGTTCAAGTTTATTCCTCTATTTTTAATCATTTGTGTCTATAACATCATTCGATATCTGATTCAGGCATCACTGTTGTGTCTGTATATGCTAAAAATGTGGACAATAAGTTTCATATAGCTCTGTCAGCATGATGAACCTTCCTGTTTGACGCAGGAATGGCCAAAAATAAGAAATGATAAATCAGTTTTTTGTTTTGTTCACTGACCATCAATTCTTTGAAAAGATACAAAATATGTGAGATTTGCACAGGGACATGGGAAAGCGGGATTTGCTCCGTTATCTGCTGTGTTTTGTGTCTGTTATCTTGCAAAGTCATTCAGAAGTCCGAATCTCACACACGCGGAAACACGCGGACGGCCTTCCTGAAGGGAAGGTGAATCTGGTCTGACTTTATCAGAAAGTCACATGTCAGCGTGTGTGTAAATAGAAGACATTGTTTCTGAGAGTTTGTGTGCGTGAAATCGCATTACTCAGGATAAACCTGTATGTTTGAGCACCCGTTTTTATTTGATCTGTCACCGCAGGGTGCCTCTGACTGGCGCCCCGTGTCTGAAAACGTGAGACAGTGAAACCATGGTAAACGCAAACAACGAAACATAAACGAGAGAGAGAGAGAGAGAGAGAGAGAGAGACAGACTGACAGAGAGAGAGAAAGAGAAGGCAGAGTGGATTTCATCGGCTGCGTGAGGAGGAGGAAAAAGGAGCCGAAAGATATAAACAATTCCACTGCTGCTTCCAGAATCCAAGTCACTGCATGACATCATCGCCTGAGGAATCTGAGTCACACTGTGACATCATCGCTTCAGAAGCCAATGCTGCCTTCAAAGTCGATATTTAGTCAAACTATTGTAGGAAAAACATTTCAATTTCATATTTCATTCTCACATTTCCATAAAGACAGGAAGAGTTTTTAGCACTATTGCAACAAAATAAAGGGTGAGGAATAATATAATTTAATTTAGCATAATTTAATATAATACAATATTCAAATTTAAGCTTTTTTTGTTGTAAAAAAGTCAGTTGTTTTCTAAAATGCTTGCTGTGATGGCTGATGACGGCCATATTGGGGACTGTGTTTTGTTAACTAAAAATAAAACTTTTTTTTTTTTTTAAATGCATTAATTAAAATTACATTGAAATTAAATAACATAACATGGAAATAGCATAAATATGGAAATAGCATAATAACATAAATTTGGATAAGTTCAACTTAAAAACTTAGCAACTAACTGAAATAATAAGTTTAAGTACTAAAGTTACTAAACCTAAAACTGAAATAAAATAAATAAAAGCTAAATAGAAATATATATGAAAAATAATAATAAAAATGACAAAAGCACATAACAAAATTACTAAAACGTAAATGAAAATACATAAAAATATATTAAAATATTAAAATAAATATTACAATATAATAAAAAAAATCTAAATATAAAATTTAAAAAAACTAAAACTGAAATAAATTAAAGCTAAATAGAAATTGAAAAAACTACTAAAAAAGACAAAATAACATAACAAAATTACAAAAACAAAAAATACATAAAATAAAAAAGTAAAAATTGAAATTGAAAATGAAAATGAAAGTGTAAATATAACTATAAATATAAAAATATAATATAAAACTGAAATAAAACAAAGCTAAATATAAATATTTTTTATAAAAATAACAAAAGCACATAAATATTAAAAATAAAAAAGTAAAAATTGAAAAATAAAAAATGTAAAATATAAAATCTAATTCAAAATATTAATAATAATAATATTAAAATAACACTGATTGGGGCAGTGATTCTTGGTTATAAAAAATACAAATTGTAAACATAAATACCACATTTATTCAAAATCTATTTTATTCAAATTTACAATTATTAACAGTATTAAAAATGAATAAATATAAATAAATAAATATTATTGATAGGTCTATAATATTATAGATAAATATAAAAAATAAACATTTTATAATATAACCACTGTATCCTATCCAGAAACCAGAATTAATTTAATTAATTAATTAATTAAAACTAGAATCACTGAAAAATAAATAACATAAAATAAAGAAATAAATTAATAAAATCTTTTTTTCCTTATGAAATCATCTCAGGGCACAGAAAAATCCTAAAGAATCACCTACATATGATTATTCAGTCATGACTTAAAAGCAGCATTAGTCAAATCAATGGGTTGTTTTGCATTTAGAATATGATGCAAAAACCACCTCAAAATGATAATTCGGCTCCTTTTTCTTTATGCAAATGAACACTGACATGACAGCACAGGCGATGACAGGCACAGAGCGGCACACACACACACACACACACACTCACATCAACACGCATGTGGAAGACATGGATCGCCAGCATGCACGGATACTTACCCCGCGCCGGAGGCTCCTGAAGCAGTGCATTTTGGGCTTGGAGGTCATGAGGTCGTTGAATCGGTGGTTACAGAGAGAGAGAGAGAGAGAGAGGGTGGGACCAAATCGATCCGGAAAGAGGTAAACAAAAAAGGAGGGGGAACACAAAACAAGAGAAATAAGGACCCAAAAATGAAACGAATTAATCAATTAATCAATTAATAGAACAAAGGAGAACGCAAACTTAAAAGGAACGTAAAAGAAACGGCAACTGAAAGAAACGCGCTGCAGCTGTGGTGTTATTAACCCTGTGAGCGAGAGAGTTAGTGCGTTAAACTCTGTCCTGTACATCAGGGGTCACATGCAGGGGTCAGATCACTGCAGAACCATTTGAAGGGACGGTTCACCCAAAAATAAACGTCACCTCAGTGACTGTCGGTCTTCCGTGGAACATAAAAGGTGATTTTTCAATGTAATGGAAGCAAATGGGGACCATGGGCTTCAAAAATGACAAAAAGCCCTGTAAAAGTAGTACATATGACTATATTCCAGGTCTTCTGAAACCAAACAACAGCTTTGTGTGAGAAAAAGACCTAAAGTCATTATTCACTAATAATCTGTCACCGATAATTCACCTTTTTGTCAGTTAAGTTTAAATTTTAAGTACTTTTATTGGTAGGATTGTGTTTGCATGGCAATAACAATAAACAAATATTACTGAAATAATTAATTAATTAATTTTATTTACAGTATATCTATATATATAGTCATTTATCAATATATTAAGAAAGAAAAAAACAAAATAATACATTTATTTATTTACTTATTTCATTTATTTAAAAATACAAATATTAGTTTAGCAAATGTACAAAATTATATTAGAAAAAAATATATATTAGAAAAAATACTGAAATTATAAAATAAAATGTAAAAACTAATAATAATAATTAACAAGTGTGCATGTGTGTTTGTGTGTATTAGTCATTTTTCAATACATTATGAAGAAAACAATAAAAATAAATAAAATAAAAATAAGATTTAAACATTCAATACATTACAAATAACAAAAAATGTAATATATGCACATGGACGGACTTAGTTGGTTAGCAGTAGTTGGTTTCTGACGGTGTGCAGCTGAAAAAAGAATTTTAGCTACAGTTAATGAACTGTCTTCCACCAGTAACATCTGCATTTGATCTGTTTTTTTAAGAACTATAAATCTCTGGCAAAGTATTTCTCGCCTTTTTGTCACTTTTTGAAGTTTGACAGCCATGGTCACCATCCACTTTCATTGTATGGCAAAAGAGCAGCATAAATGTTCCTTTTCTCTTTTTGTGTTCCAAGAAAGAAAGTCAGTCAATGAGGGTGAGCAGACGATGACAGCGTTTTCATTTCTGGCTGAACTGTCCCTTTAACAAACATTGCATGCACAGCACACACACACACACACACACACACACATACTCTCCTCTACAGCACAAAAACTGATTTCACTGATTTCTCTCTCTCTTTCACTTTCTTATTAGCGAGCTCCCCAAAGCGTAATGGAGAAATTAATGAGCGTGCGTTCTGGGAGAGCTCACATTAACGGTTCAGTTCCCAACAGACTAGACAACCTGCTAAAACATCACAGACAAAATCTGCCCTCTATGCATTAGGAAAAACCGAGATAAGTCGAAATCTACACAAGTGTGCCCAGTACCACAGGAAATCAAAATTACGTGTGCAATAATGCACTTACGATGGAAGTCCATTGAGCAATGTGTCGCATAACCAGAAGTAGTCCTACCACTAAAAGAATGATTTACACAACTTTACAGCTCAAATAACACATTTTGCACAAAATAAATAATTGCTTCAGAATAAATATGAGATGCACATTTGTTATTTTAACCCTTCCAGAATATCTTGCCCTATTTTAGTATTATTTATATACTATTAAAGCATTAATTCATTTTGAATTAGCTTTTATTTTATATTTCCATTTTAATTGTGGTTTAATTTTTACAAATGTTATGTGCTATTGTCACTTTAAATGGTAATTAAAATAGCTAAATCTATTAAAAAAAACTTTAGTTAAAAATAATTGATAAGAAAAAAACAATAAGTAGAAATAAATAACAAGCATAAATTCCTGGCTTTTCAATTACACTCTCAAAAATAAAGGTATTCCTATTTACATTTTATTTTTTATTTATTCAATTATTTTTAGTAATTTAAGTACATCAACCTGTTTTATTTAAGTTTTTTTCCATTTCAATTTTTTTTTGTTTAGGTGTAATATATCTAATATGTATATTTTGTTTTATTTCAGCTTTATTTTACTTAACGCGAAAATTATTTCAATGTTTTAGATCTACTTAACAACACTCCTGGCCCACAGACTTCCCATGTAAGAGCATTACTGAAAACAGCATTTCTCCGTGTTTTTCCAAAGTTGAGCTGATTTCCTGTGGTAATCAACAGCATGTCACAGATGCTGCCAACACAGCTTAACTCGTACTGAACACAGAAGAGTCCTATAATCTTTACCGTCATACATAAACACAAGAAACATTTCAACATCTAACCCTCTAGAACATTCGAATTTTGTCAATATCATCTGCTTGCCTTTCATGCATAAACGCCATTAATCAGATCCAGTTCTGCACAAGATGTGTGTGCGTTTAGTGTTTAGACTAATATTATTGAATGTGGTTTCTAAGTAAAGTCTCCTAATAATGTTTTGTGTTATTCCTGACCACAAACAGACACGTTACACACACAGGATAGACGTGAACTGACAAACACAGGCTATGATTGGAACAGCATACTACATACTTCTATTACTATTTAGACACTATGTGCGATATGCAAATGTCCTACTACCGTACATTTGCCAAAATGCGCAGCATACAACAAAACACACCATATGGAGCATGATATCCCATAATGCAATGCGCAAAAGTTCCATTTCCAGTGTGAAGAGAATATAAACTGCAGTATTTCACAGACACAGCCAAATGTCGCTATAGTTTTACACAAAACTAAAGTGCAATAAATGCACTAAAAATGCAAATAACCATATTTAATTCTCATATAACATCTGGATGCCACTTGCCGAATTAAATATGATGTGATGAGATCATGTGAGCACAATATATATTGTAATGTTTTGCATAAATTAAAATAAATATATAAATATAGTATGCATTTAAGTACTGTATTTGAAAGTCTCTTATGCTCACCAAGGCAGCATTTATTTGATAAAAAAATACAGTAAAAATAGCAATTTTGTAAAATATTATTACAATTTAAAAGAACTGCTTTCTATTGTAATATATTTTAAAATATAATTTATTCCTTTAATGCAAAGCTGAATTTTCAGCATCATTACTCCTGTCTTCAGTGTCACATGATCCTTCAGAAATCAGTCTAATATGCTGATTTGCTGCTCAAGCAACATTTGTTACTATTATTCAGGTTGTAAACAGTTGTGCTACTTCATATTTTGGTGTTTTCTTAATATTTCGTGTATTCTGAATGAATAGAAAATTCAAAATAACAGCTATAACATTATAGATGTCTTTACTATCACTTTTAATCAATTTAATGCATCCTTGCTGACTAAAAGCATTCATTTATTTCGTATTGACCTCAAACTAACTAAACAATCATAAACAGTATACAGTATATACTGCACAGTATGAACTAGTTTTCCATTCCGCCCATAGCCACACAGACACACCTCATTAAATATATATGACAGTGTTAATGCTCACATCCTGGTCCTGCGAGGTTAGGCGGGGTTTGGACTGAGCATGCTCAGTAAGAGCGGAGCCTTTGACACAAATGTCAAAGGTCACAAGAAGACAGAGGAAGACGAGGAAAAGGAAGAAGAATGTGGTTACCATGAGAACAGCACCGATGGGCGGCCGGAGAAGGAAGTTACTCTCGGTTTGAAAGGACAACACAGGAATAAAGCCTTTAGAGTTACGTTTCTCTGCAAAGGTCAAAGGTGAGGCCTCTCGGGCCGGTGCATTAGTACGTCAGGATGAACATGGAGCGTATTTTCGTGCAGGTGAACACAGGGAAGGGAAAGGAAAGGAGAACGATGGTGGCAAACGAATAACAGCATCTACAGATACTACAATAAAACTAGACAAATTCAAACTAATAAACAAGCACAAACTAAAACAAAACTCACATAAACACATAAAACAATCACTCTCATGACGTATCAGATCAGTCTGTGCTGTTCATATTTACTTGAGTTTTGTTTTCAGTCCAATCCAAGTAACTGCGAGTGAATGTGACGCCGGTGTGTGTTACCTTGTTTTTCTTAATGAAAGGCCAGAGAGTTTTGCTCTTGCCCTTGCTGGAACGGTCCACTTTGTTGTCCGAGCGTGAGTTAGAGAGGCTGGTCTCAGACACCGTCCTCTTCATCGCCTGACCATAGTCTTCGAACTCCACATCGCCAGGAGGCTCGAACCCAGACTTATACGACTCTATGACCTGAGAGGAGTCCTGCGGGGGAAAGACAGCACAGATAGTCTTAAGGCTTGTTCACATCGGGACAAATATCACGCGCAATTATCACCGACGTTTAACGCCTCGTGACTAAGCAATGGGCGCCAATGTGAGTGTGCACACCGACGCCCAAAACGCGAGGCGTAAAAGCGTAATTTTTTAGAAAACGCCTCGGCCTCGTTTTTTTGGTTTGACGCGCCGTATTAAAAATCTCGAAAAAATCTCGATAAGAGGGAGTTGTTATGGAGAGGAATTGCAGATCAAATAGGATTCGATGTGTACCGGGGTATTTCTGTTTTTCATTAAGCACCATCTAATGTCAGGGAGTGAATTTGCACGTTCACTCGGCTCATCGCCAACGAAAATCGCTTGGGTATGAACACAAAAGAAAAAACGACGAAAAACGTCGGCGATAAGCGCGCGCGATAATCGTCCTGGTGTGTACGAGGCTTTACTGTGTGATTACAGTTTTTATTAATATTTTGAATTCGATACAATTTTTATATTTTTTGTATTCACTTTAATTTTTGTTAAAGTTTAAGTAATTTTATTTGTTTCATTTTATTGTTATTCATTTTTATTATTATTTTTAAATATGTAAATTTAGTATATATCAATTTTTTGTATTTTTTTATTACTTCAAAAAATGTTGTCTTGGCAACTAGTTAAAATATATATATAATATAAATATATATATATAAAATGGTTTTAGTTTTAGTTAACTATAGTAACCCTGCTTTGAAAATAAACTGATATAAATAAGCTATTACTATTGCTATGAAACGAACCCTTCCCAATAATATATTTCTTGACATTTTTTGTTTCTTTTTGAGGATGCCTCTAAAAGGAGGTTTTGTCAGATTTAGGTCATTTCTGAAGATGTTTTGTCCTAAAAAGCAACTGTATAGTCAGAGACAACAACCACTTGCCGTTTCATTTGCAGAATATATTATATCTATATCTAGATACATAATTTCTATCATTTCTAAAAACATAATTGCATTGTCAGTAAATAATTAAAAAGCCAGAAAATATATTTGAAAAACATTTCAGAGATTCTTGATTTCATCAGAGGAGATTTAAGAGTCTTTATAGACCACATATTTAATTTGTCGCAAACGATAATAAGGCTGTAAAGGATAAATAAAGTACAAAGACTTCAATATGTCATATTGTGTCACTATTACTTATATCCTTATTTCAATATTATATTATTGAAATTTCTAGCACATAAATCTGAAACAACATGTGTTTCAAAAACTAAACATGAGCTAAGTTTGGGGCCAGTAAGATCTTTTTCTTTTTTTAATACTTCATTTTTTATTAGCCAAGAAGGCATTAAATTGATCAAAAATTAAATTTTTAATGTTACCAAAGATTTCAATTTCAAATAAATGCTGTTTTTTTTTTTACTTTCTTTTTAGCAAAGAATCATGAAAAAGGTTTACACACAAAAAAAAAACAGTTTCAGCACAACTGTTTTCAACTGTTAATAATATTTAATAATAATAAATGTTTCTTGAGCAGCAAATCAGCATATTAGAATGAATTCTGAAGGATCATGTGACACTGAAGGCTGGCGTAAAATAAATGACATTTTACAACATATTCAAAAATAATGTTTTTTTGTATTTCTAATCAAATAAATGCAGCCTTGATGAGCACAAGAGACTTCTTTCAAAAACATTAAAAAAAACGTTTAAACAACAGTTTTAGACATTTCACAGCCTTGATTTCTGCATTTTCATAATCTGCTAATTATGCTTGCGTCATATGAAGGATCAGGTATCAGTGATTTACGATAATCTAATCCATTTGAATAAACAGCCAGAGACTGATCCTGGATCAATGTTAGAATCAGTAATAGGGTCAGTAATGTCTTGTTCAACCCAGATTGAGTTTCTATGCGAGAATGAGAGGTATTTCCGACAGAAAGTCACGAGTGAGTCTGTATGAGTGTGTTACTAACATTCTTGGGTTCGATGGACTCGGCCGCTTGTGTTATTCCATCCAGGCATTTCCCGATGATGGGCAGAATCTGTCGGTCGACCTCCGCAAACGTCTTCAGCGACTCACCCATTCGCTCGATCCTCTTCTCCTCCATCGCCTGGATCTTCTGCTCAAAACACACACATACAGAGTTAGTGTGTGTATTTCTGAATAGAGAGCTGTGAGATCATGCAAACTGCCTTTTGGGGTGTGTTTATGCTGTTACCTAATTTGCATCATTCACAATAGTGAATTCAGAAATAATGCAAATAAATGATGATATTAGAAGCTAATTCATTCTCAGTGCATGTTTCTGTGCGTGTGTGTGCACCTGGAAAATATTAGGGATGATGGTGTAATAATGTTCGTTCTGTTCCTGGTTGAACTTCTGCAGGTATGAGGAATATTCATTCTTGCTGTCAGAAGCCATCTGGTGTCTCATCTGAGCCTGCTGCCGTGCCTAAAAGATAGAGAGGATGAAATATTACTGATTATGCAATATCATTTTATTAATTATACCCCTAAAAACACACAAACTTAAACACATGCAAGCCTTCACATGATTTCACATCTTCCTACATCCTTGCGACAACATTCACATTCAAAATAATCATGCATTTGCATGATTTTCTAAATTCGTAACCAACTCAAACATGTCTTATGTTGAATATTCATTTATGAGATTTTTAACCAATGAGATTTAATTGTAGGCGGGGCTACCTGGTGCGATGATGCAGAAATCAATAAAAAGACTTAAAAAACTCTCATTTAAATGGAAGATATACTTTTATCGCTGTGACTAGGGAATGTAGTGCGCTCAAAATAACACACTTTTGTTTTCAGACTCAATGACTTCCCCTAAATTTACTCACAAACCTCAAAATCCACCCGCACTGACATCAGAATATAAACACCTTCAGCTTGATCCATACAGAAGTGTTTATACACACTTATGTGTCAAACGCCAGATATGACATATATGAAAATCTAAAAGAAAACTGCAAGATATAAACACCCTACACAACACTCAAGAGTTCTTGTGGGTTGAAGAAACACACAAATGCATGCTGCTGAGGTAAATGCGATTCTAAAGTATGTTAATGCATTTTAATGCACATAGTTTAAGGGGACTATACAGAGGAAGCAGCGTCATGTTAACCACATCTGGATCCGATTCTAGGAAATCACTCTGGTTAACCTGTGGCTCAGTGTTGCCATGGAAACACTCTAACTTCACCAGCAGCAGACATGTGCATGAGCCGACGGGAAGTTCAGAAAAATATCCCCGAAAATTATATTTGCACTGAATGAAAATGTATCAAAATAATTTAGAGCAGATTTGTAGTTGTATTTGATTAGAGTGATCTGTGTCTCAAAGGGTTAGTTCACCCAAAAATGAAAATTAGCCCACAAATTACTCACCCTCAAGTCATCCTAGGTGTATATGACGCATGTATATGCAGGCGCAAGCTAGGGGCTGTGTATCACCAGCAAAGTCACGATACGATACGTATCACGATACAGAGTCCACGATACGATACATATCACGATACATGACTGCACTGAATTTCACCTCAGCAGAGTTTAGAAAAACAGCTGTTTATTAAACCAGCTGTATCGATACTCGTATTGTCAAATCTCTGTGACGATACATCGTCGAATCGATATTTTGAACACAGCACTGGCGCAAGCTACATTAAAGTGATTATTACGTTTTGAATATGGATATTTTTCTTACAAAAACGCATTGATTCGCTACAGGAGGCCTTTGTTCACCCCCCGGAGCCGTCTGAGACACTTTATTTTTATGGATGGGTGCTTTTTATTTAACTTATTTTGGACTGATGCATGCAACACCCGCTGAGTGGCATTAAACAGCTTGAAAGATCAAAGACAATTTTTAATATAACTCCAATTGGATTCATCTGAAAGAAGAAAGTCATATACACCTAGGATGACTTGAGGGTGAGTAATTTGTGGGCTAATTTTAATTTTTGGGTGAACTAACCCTTTAATATCACTGCTTGTGCATTCAATTTTTTTCTTAAATATAAGAATATTTAAATGTAATGATATTGCATTCAAATATTTACATAATGTTTAGAATATATAACATATATTCATTTAGTTTTTATATATTTTTATTTCATACAAAATGAAATAAATCAAATCTACAATATATAAATACAATACAATAATATCTTATTTTTATTTGTATTTTTAATTGTATATTTTTTGTATTGGAAATGTACATTTCATATTATAAATTAGAAATATTAAGTATTTAAATTAGCTATTCTTACATTTAAATATTTTTATATTTAAGAAAAATTTAAGCAGTGAGTGATATAACTTCATACAAAATTAAAAATAATAACATACAAAATATAAATAAATATAATACAATATATTATTTTTATTTTATATTAAAAATGCACATTTTATATTGTATATCATAAATATTATATTTCTATTTATGATTAAACATTAAACTAAATATTAAAAATGTAATATTCATACATTTAAATATTCTTATATTTAAGAAAAAATTAGTAATAGACAAGCAGTGAGTGATGATACAGTTCATTATATTTAAATAATCTAATTATAAATAATATAAACAAACTGATAATAATATAAACATAAATTATATATATATATATATATATATATAAAATACTACAGCAGTTTAATTTGTATATTATACAATACATATACTGTATATATACAATTATATTATATTATATTATATTATATTTTTAAAATATTTTGTAAACCTTGGACACATTGCAACCACCAGATACTGATGATTCCTAAACGTACAAACACACACCTCCTTAGTAAACTGTGATATGGTGAGCTGACATTTATATATGGACCAGCAGAACAGGAAGCTTTGAGGCTTTGAGGTTTACATATTTAAATATTCATGCCTGGAGCGATGTGACTGGTGGAGCAGCAGCGCAGACAAACTGTAATCAAGCCTGTGATTGGTTGGCTGTTCTGCAGGTGTGTCGTGTGGGCGTGGCCATGGTTGGACAGGAAGCAACAGTGTCCCGACACACAGACACACACACACACACACACACACACACACAGACCTGCCACCGTGCACCTACCTTATGGTAACATCGCTTCAAGGCATGATTTAAAAAAAACACATACGCATTAGTTAGCTTAGGCTACTCATGAGTTAGTACTTAAATCTACACCTTAAAATGACAGTAATATCTGACACAAACCGCTCGACAACACATCAAATGAAGGCAAACAAACCAACATGTGTCAAAACCACATGACCCTTGAACACATAAACAGACTGGCTGTGTTCATGAAATACAAGCATACTGCTTCATACACACTATTTAAAAAACAAAAATATGTTAAACAGTGTATTAGTATGCAATTGTAACTAAATCTATCATATAGTAACTTGCAAACTGCCTTGTTATTATCAAACAACCTCATTATGGTGCATGTTTATTTCAGTAACTGACGTCTAGTCATCATCTCCGCATTTTTAAATCAGTGTTGTGTAAAAAATTGTCAGACTTTTGGCATTCTGAGCTTTGGCTAATCAAAAAATGAGTCATGAAAGAGATAAAAATTGTGGTTTGTGTTACTTTCGGTTTATGCGTCTCAGTGTAAATAAAAGATGAAGTCAAGATGCATTGCATTGTGGGATGCAGTACTCTGGTTATATGCATCGTCCAGGTATTCCATGCATTCATAATCCAAATACTGTACATAGTATACATACTGTAAACTGCAGAAATAGTATGTTACTCTAAATGCAGTCACTCACTAATTGAGCCAATGCAGCTGTTGTACCTTTACTGACCCTGAAATGTCTGCGTTTCTCATTAACGGAAGAGATCTGAAAGATTGGCTTTGCATTGGACTTTTTGGACTCTCACACATGCTACCTGAAAGATCTCTGGAGTTCCTCACTACCTGACCGTTAAATGACAAAAAATGCTCTCTGGACTCCTGGAAGCAGGAGCTCTTTTCCACATCTGAATACTTTGGAAATTTCTCTTTGTTCGACTCAAGCTATCACAGAGACATCTGCCCAGCACACGCTCTGGAAAAAAGAACGATTAAAACTGAGTAAAGAGAATGTAGGCGATGTTGCCTGTCCTGTGTGACTCCACAGTCCTACACACACACACACACACACACACACACACACACGGTCGAGTTTCCACACAGTGCCACGGCAGCAGTGTGAGACAGTGATGGATGTGTTAAGATGAAGTGAAAGGAAAAACAGACACATGTGAATCACTCAGGCTGTATCAGTTTATCACTTTTTCATCTTATATAAACCAACTAAGTGAGATGATGATAGCAATAAAATCATAATCAGATTAATTATAAACCTTAGTTTCATTCAGCTGACACACGATCTATCTATCTATCTATCTATCTATCTATCATTTTTATTAAGCATATGGTAGACAGAACAACAGATGGAAGAATAGACAGACAGACAGACAGACAGATAGATAGATAGATAGATAGATAGAGGGACAGACAGAGGGACAGACAGACAGATAGATAGATAGATAGATAGACAGACAGACAGACAGACAGACAGACAGAGGGATAGACAGACGGACAGACAGACGGATAGATAGACAAGACAGACAGAGGGACAGACGGACAGACGGATGGATGGACGGACGGACGGACAGATAGATAGATAGATAGATAGATAGATAGAGGGACAGAGAGAGGGACAGACAGAGGGACAGACAGACAGACAGACAGAGGGACAGACAGACAGACGGACAGACAGAGGGACAGACAGACAGACAGACAGATAGATAGATAGAGGGACAGAGAGAGGGACAGACAGAGGGACAGACAGACAGACAGACAGAGGGACAGACAGACAGACGGACAGACAGAGGGACAGACAGACAGACAGACAGATAGATAGATAGAGGGACAGAGAGAGGGACAGACAGAGGGACAGACAGACAGACAGACAGAGGGACAGACAGACAGACGGACAGACAGAGGGACAGACAGACAGACAGACAGATAGATAGATAGAGGGACAGAGAGAGGGACAGATAGATAGATAGATAGATAGATAGATAGATAGATAGATAGACAGAGAGAGGGACAGACAGAGGGACAGAGAGAGGGACAGACGGACAGACAGAGCGACAGACAGATAGATAGACAAGACAGACAGACAGACAGACAGTTTGCGGTTTCTATATAATTATATATCATCACTTCTGTCTTATTACTGTTAAAATATTCCCAGTGGCGAAACTGGTGTTTTCTTCTTCAGGAATCCTGGATGATGTATGATTCCTTATCAGACGCTCTTACCTTCTCCACATCTGCTTTCGTCACGTTGATGTCTGCGTCCAACTTCTCAAAGTACTGCTGGGCTCGATCTGCTTCCTTACAGTCCCGCTCAAACTTCCTCTTACACTGCACACACATACACACACGTGTGTTAAAGCATGGCAGAACACACTGCTCTAGATTCATGTACACACAAATGTTCAGATGCAGAGCACTCAGAGTTTAATTAGCACACTCACACACGAACAGATGTGTGAAGTTCTGCAGTATAATAAACGCTCATCCATTATCACACTGTTTATCCTTCATCTCACTCTCACACTCATTTATTTGAAGGGACAATCAACATTTGTGTTCGCACTGACCATTGAATCACCCGATCATGCAAACACACACAATGACCTCATTCTTACACACGGACACATACAGGCAGGGCTCTCTCGTTCTCTCACATAAGAGAGACAGACAGACAGACGGACAGACAGAGGGACAGAGAGAGGGACAGACGGACAGACAGAGGGACAGACAGACAGACAGACAGATAGATAGATAGAGGGACAGAGAGAGGGACAGATAGATAGATAGATAGATAGATAGATAGATAGATAGATAGACAGAGAGAGGGACAGACAGAGGGACAGAGAGAGGGACAGACGGACAGACAGAGCGACAGACAGATAGATAGACAAGACAGACAGACAGACAGACAGTTTGCGGTTTCTATATAATTATATATCATCACTTCTGTCTTATTACTGTTAAAATATTCCCAGTGGCGAAACTGGTGTTTTCTTCTTCAGGAATCCTGGATGATGTATGATTCCTTATCAGACGCTCTTACCTTCTCCACATCTGCTTTCGTCACGTTGATGTCTGCGTCCAACTTCTCAAAGTACTGCTGGGCTCGATCTGCTTCCTTACAGTCCCGCTCAAACTTCCTCTTACACTGCACACACATACACACACGTGTGTTAAAGCATGGCAGAACACACTGCTCTAGATTCATGTACACACAAATGTTCAGATGCAGAGCACTCAGAGTTTAATTAGCACACTCACACACGAACAGATGTGTGAAGTTCTGCAGTATAATAAACGCTCATCCATTATCACACTGTTTATCCTTCATCTCACTCTCACACTCATTTATTTGAAGGGACAATCAACATTTGTGTTCGCACTGACCATTGAATCACCCGATCATGCAAACACACACAATGACCTCATTCTTACACACGGACACATACAGGCAGGGCTCTCTCGTTCTCTCACATACACACACTGAATCAACAAACAACCAGAGCACTCTGCTAACAAAGACACAATCCATCTCTAACACCACACACTCTGAGACAGTGGGTGTACAGAAGAATGTCCTGATATATCCTGTCTGCTTCAGTGTGTGTGTGATCAGAGGTACATCACACACACACACACAGTATCTAATGGACTAAGTGGTTATCTTAGCTTTTTGTACATTTACTATGGTAATAGCATTGTGTAGTTTGAAGCATGGCATTGTATATGAATATGAAAATCACTCAGCATGGAATACAGCTAGTTTAAGTTTAACTGAAACTTAAAATTATAAATAAAATAGTAATAATAGTTTATTTTATTTGTAAAATATTTAATTTAATTGTAATATTTTAAAAATTAAATTTGTATTAAAATGTTGCACTGAATAAAATATTAATAATATATTTTAATTTTAAAATTAAATTAAAATTGGACCTTACTATTTTAATTTAATATGTACTGAAATGTAGTATTGTATAATGTAAGCTTAATTAATTTTCAAAATTACAAATATAAATGAAATAGATCTTAAAAATACTGTTTTAGGTTTTAAATAATTGTGATATTTTGATAATTTAATATGTATTTAAATGTATTGAATAATGCAAGTTTAATGACATTAAAAAATAAAAAATAAAAATATATATATTAATATTATAACAATATATTAATATGAATAAAATATAAATATATAATATTTTTTAATTTAATAATTTATGATTATGAAATGTACTGAATGATGAAAGCTTTATTTTTAAAATTACAAAAATAAATAAAATAAATACTTATTTGAGCTTTAAATAATTTTAATAATTTAATTTGTATTAAAATGTATTGAATAATGTAAGTTTAATTTTTAAAATCACAAAAATATATAAAACAAATACTGTTTTAAATCATTTTAATATTTTAATAATCTGTATCAAAATGTTGTATTAAATAATGCAAAATAAAAGCCTTTTCACTTGTGCCCCCAGACTTTTGGAGACCATTGTATATCAAAGTACCATAGTATTACCACCTAATAACAATGAGATTCCAGTGCTCATTTATTTGATGGATTATTGATTGATTATTGATGTTGACCGAACTCACCAATTCCAGCTGTTTCCAATTGGCTTCGATCTGTTGCTGTGCCTTCCGTCCATCATGGAAATGCTGTGAGAGAGAAGGATGAAGAAATTAATCACTAATTTATTAAGATTCATCATAGGTTTACATACATGAAGGCAAATTTAATCTCATTACTGTCATGAAGGAACAACTGAAATTAAGGAGCTCTCATTTGCAGTTAAAGAAGATATGAATAATTGAAAAAATACAATCAGAGTGCATGTAAGCCTGTACCCGAGAGGAATAATTATTATCATATAATTATGTACTTTTATTAGGTTGTGGATTTAAATGTATATTAAGGCATTCTCAAAGACTACTTTTTGTCAAGGTTTATATTTTTTTTGTTTAAATGTTGATTTGAAGCGTCAGTTTTTGAATTATTGTTACTACAGTCAAACCTGAACACAGAACGCATTTTGTTATACAAAACATTCAAATTCTATAAAAATGTAACAAAAATAAACAGCAATGCTTTATCAGACCTTAATCCTTCTGGGTCTGATCTGATTTCAACCTCTTATTTCAGTCTTCTGATACCGTGATATATCGCATTACCGAATACCGGCACAAGTCTACTTCTGACTCATTTTGGCTATATGGTTATAGCCATACCAATTCATTTGAGTGTGTATAATTGTGTGTGTGTCTGTGAGTGTGTGCACGTGGATGTGTCTGTTTTGCACTCTTGATGTTTTAGTGTAACCCCTTCCTTGCTGTCCACTTTTTTTACTAAATTGTAGTTGAATTATTGATTTTATTTTACATAGTTGCTGTGTTACAGGCACACCGGTTCATAGGGGTATGTGTGTGCAAGTGTGTGTGTGTGTGTGTGTGCGTGTGTGAGTGGGTGTGTTGATTTTGCACTCTAGATGTTTTAGTTTCACCCCTAAAAACCCCTAAAGCACCTTCATTGCTGTGTAATTTGTAGATTGTACACACAAAAATGTACTGTATTTTCAATTTTTTTTGCCATTACCTATTAATTTCCTATGGTCGGTCATTTTTGACCGAAGACCATGAGTGTGACTCTTTTTTTTTTACGACTACTTAGCTTTTTCGAATCATGCCCTCAATTTTTTTATGTGTCATAAAAGTCACCAAGTTTCAAACCATTCTGGTGAAGCTACGATTTAAAAAAATTCAAAATGTGAAATTCTCCAGTCAGAAGTGACCGAAGACTGCATAAGG